ATTTCCACAGTGGTTGCACCAGTCTGCACTCCCACCAACAACGGAGAAGGGTTCCTTTCTCCCCACACCCCTGCCAGCATTTGTTATTGGTTGATTTCTTGATAGCAGCCTGAATGACCTATTTATTTCAAGAGGTTTTTCCACTCCATCTGATAAGCATTAGGATGATCCCTAAGCTTTTGTAAACATTAGGAATGTTCTATATTACAGCTAAACTATAAATGTTCTTTTCTCAGAAATTTTGTTCTTTGCTTAGCCTTATGGAGTTTCACACTTCACATACAGTTAAAGGAAAGGGGACCCCTTTATTTCTAGTGTTTTTTCTTTAACTATTTCTTTATTTACTGCTCCACAAATTTTAGCTGCCTTGAAATTCCTTAAATTCAATTTATGTCTCCTCTTTTTAATTTCAGGTTATCTTTTTATCCTATACTCTACTGAGAAATAATCCCTGGACAGAAAGCCAAGGTAATCACAATGCCCACATAGATTGTTTTCCTTCCTTCAGAGATCACAATTCTGTTCCTGCTGAACAGGGTTTTGTTTCCCCAGTTCTTTAGCTGTTTACAGTTTGGGGAAGGGAGTCCCCAAGAATAGTTATTCCTTCATGTGTGGAAGCAGAAGTCTAGCTTTGATTTTAAAAAAATTTTATTGGTACATTTTAGGTATACAATATAATGACATTCATCATTGGAGATTTGTACTTTTATATAATCTCTCTTGATTCTTATTTCTTCCCCATTTCCCTGCCCTCTCTTCCACCCCTCCACGCCTCCCTATTTACAAAGACTTTGTTTCCAGTTTTTAAATTTTCTCATGTTAATTCCATTCCCCTCTTTCCTTTCCCTTACCCCTCCCACTTCCCCTTCCCCTGTGCACCTTTTCACATTATCTATTGTATATTTTGACCCTTATTTACACTTTCAGTTTCTCACATCAGAGAAACTATTCAGTATTTACACATGTGTGTCCTATTTATTTCATTTAAAAGTATTGCCTCAATGTGCATCCATTTAGCTATAAATCACTCTAATTTCTCATCCTTTTTTTTTTTTTTTTTGGTATCGGGGATCGAACTCAGGTCCTTGCGCTTGCGCAGCAGATGGTGAAACCACTGAGCTAAATCCCCGGCCCTCTAATTTCTAATTCCTTATGGCTGAGTAGTACTCCATCTTATTTTAAAAAACCATATTTTCTTTATCCAGTCTCCAGTTGATGGGCAATTGGGCTGTTTCCATGTTTTAGCTACTACAAACTGTGCCGCTATGGACATGGGTACAAACTGATTCTTTGTAGCAGTCACTGATGTTCTTGAGCTTACAGGGAAATATCTGTAAATGAGTGATGAGAGTTCTTTTGCTTCTGAACATCAAAAAAAGTACATGAGACCAGGTGTGGTGACACACCTGTACTCCCCACACTTGAAGGCTGAAGCAGGAGGATTGCTGTGAATTCGAGGCCAGCCTGGTCTACATCGTGAGATCTTGTCTCAAAAAAGAAAAAAGTCCATGAGCAAGGGGGCAGTAAAAAATGCTATTAATGCTGCTAGGCTAATAGTTCACTGAAAGTTATTTTTCTAATGAAAACCACACTTGGGAATTATTTTTATAAGGATATAAAGAAGACAAATTTGTTAATTTCCTCTTTTCTACAGAGTATCCTAAGGGGTTCCATTGGAGAAGAAAAGAATGTTTGAGTTTTAGCCAAGCTTAAACTCTGTATTAGCCAATGCTTACTAGGATCCAATTAAGGGCTCAGAGCCCATGCAGTGTCCTGTGCAAGTCTACATTGAGGATCTGCACCAGGAAGGCCCAAAGGTCGGTGGTAGAAACTAGAAAGTCTGCACTGGCAGGGTGAAGGCTCTGTGCCAGAAGGCTGGGGAATGTGCACTGGAGCCAGGAAGCAATGCTCAAGGAGAAGACCAGTGCTCCCTCAAAGAGAACAAAAGCCATTTCTGGACAGCAAGGGTCCGCGCTCCTCCGACCAGGAGAACAACTGAGTTTGTATTAGGAAAACCAGCCTCGGCAAGCTTCTCCAGGAAAATCAACAACATGCAATCTTCCCCTCTCCTTCTTTTATGTCATTTTGGCAATAATACTCAGGTGGATCTTCCATGCCCATGCTGACTCAGTTCAGCTGAGTGTTCCAAGTTGAACATTAGTTAATCCACCACAAACTCCTTTTTAATCACAATAAATAATGTAGATCATAAATTTTGTGACTTGAGAGGCTTTTTTTTGGGTTGCTTCTGTAGAAGTGACAACAAATAATACATCCATTATCAATAAATAGCTTTCCAATAGTCATTGATTCAACCAAATTTTTTAATGCCTATAGCATGTGAGGCACTACACTAGGCACAAAACTTAAAAAGATAAACAAGAAACAGATATCAGAGAACTTATGACACAGTGAACATTTGTCTTAGTCCATTTGTGCTGCTATAATGAATCACCATGATTTCTGTGATGTAAAACACAAGCTTATCATCCCACGGTTTTGTAGGTAAGAAGTCCAACTGGGTCTCACTAGGCTAAAACTGAGGCATAGCAATACCCTCCCATCTGGAGGATCCAGGGGAAACATCTTTTTCGTTGCCTTTTCCGGCTTCCAGAGGCCATCCACATAGCTTAACTCACAGTTCCATCCCTACATCTTCAAAGTGGGTATCATAGTTACTGTCTTATCACTGGGACACCATACTCAACACCCACAGCTTAAAGGAGGAAAAATTTATTTTGGCTCACAGGTTGTAGAGGTTTCAGTCTATAGTCAGCTAGTTGCAAGGCAGGGAGGCATGGCAGAGGAAGCTTGCTCATAATGTGGCAGCAGGAAGCAGTGAGCCATCAAAGGAACAGGGTCATATATATATATATATATATATATATATATATATATATGCCTTTCCAGGTCACACCCAGAGTGACCCACCTCTTCCCACTAGGCTTCACCCCCAACATCAAACAAGGCTATAAGCTCATGAATGATTGAATCCAGTATCACACACCCACAATCCAGTCACTCCCAAAAGCTCCACCTATGAACATCTAGATATTAGCTGTAACATACTGCCCCAGGCCCCCAGAAGACTCATGCATATCCCTTTATAAAAAAAATGCATTTAGGGTCCATGCAGGTGGCGGGGAAGGCACCAAAGCACACATCCTGAGCATAGTGCTGAGGGCTGCCTCAGGTGGCTAGGCCATCTTGCTGTAGGATTTCTACTGGTTGCAGGCTGTGGGAAGCACCTGGGGAGACCCTCCAGTGACAATGAAGGCAGTGACCTTTGAGGATGTGGTTGTGAACACCATGGAGGAGTGGGCTTTGTTGGATCCATCCCAGAAGAAGCTCTACAGAGATGTGATGTGGGAAAACTTTAGGAATGTGGCTGCTATAGAAAGAAATTGGGATGACCAGCAAATTGAAATGAGTACAAAAATTACTGAGGAAATCTAAGAAATGCAGAGGTAGTTAACATGGTATCAACATGGAAAAATGATTTTTGTGACTCCTGATACAAATGTGCGCATGAAACTGCTTGGTATAAAACCAAGTGAAAGCCTTGCATGTGGAAAGCCTCTGATTGGTCATTCATCACCAACTGTGCCCATCATAAATAACACAGAACCTCAATCATATGAGCTCCATGGGTTGGAACAGAAGCTGTCTAACTGTAACAGACATGGAATAACCTCCATTCACTTTCAGTACTTGCAGAAACATGCAAAGACAAATCCTGAAGAAAAACACAATAGATAAAAGCAATGTGGAAAATCCTACTGTGATTGCAATGAAGGGAGTAATGCTGATGAGAAATCCTTTGAATATAAGCCAAATGTGAGGTTCTTCAGTACACCCAACTATGTACAAATCTAGAAAAGAAGTAACAGAAGGTTGAATACCTATACATGTATACAAGGTGGAAAAGGTTTGAATTCTCACCGTGATATTCAGAAACATAAAAGAACTCACAGTGGAACAGAATCCTATGCCTAAACACTGTTTGAAATCCTTAAATAATGACACTTCATTTTACTAATCATGAAAGACTTCACACTGGGAGAAAACTCTGTGTATGTAAGCAATGTGGAAAAGCTTTCATGCCACAAAATAATTATAAAATAGATGAAAGGACCCTCACTGGAGAGAAACCTTATGTATGTAAGCAATGTGGGAAAGCTTTCAGGGCTCAGAATTATTGCAAAATGCATGAAAGGACTCACACTGGGGAGAAACCATATGTATGTAAGCAATGTGGGAAAGCCTTCATCGGGCACAATCAATGTAAAATGCATGAAAGGACCCACACTGGGGAGAAACTCTATGTATGTAAGCAATGTGGCAAAGCTTTCATCAGGCAGAGTCTGTGTAAAATACATGAAAGGACTCACACTGGGGAGAAACCCTATGTATGTAAGCATTGTGGAAAAGCTTTCAAGACTCAGGGTTATTGTAAGATACATGAAAAGACTCACACTGTAGAAAAACCCTATGTATGTAAGCAATGTGGGAAATCTTTCAGGACACACATTTCTTGCAAAATACATGAAATGATTCACACTAGGGAGAAACCTTATGTATGTAAGCAATGTGGGAAAGCTTTCACAGGACCGAGTTATTGTAGAGTACATGAGAAGACTCACACTAGAGAGAAATCCTATGTATCTAAGCAATGTGGCAAAACTTTCACAGCACTGAGTTATTGTAGAGTACATGAGAAGACTCACACTGGGGAGAAACTATGCATGTAAGCAATGTGGCAAAACTTTCAGCACACATAGGAGTTGTCAAAGGCATGGAAGGTATAACACAGTGTAGAAACCCTATGTATGTAAGCAATATGGAAAAGCCTTTCAGTTACTCTAGTACTCAACATAGATATTAAAAAATTTAAGAGAGGAAATTAGCTTAGAATATATTAAGTGACTTTACTGACATGGAAATATAGTGCAGAGAAGCCCTTTCTTTGTGTGTAATATAAAAAATCATTTAGTACACAGGTGTTGTTACATACCTGAAAGAATTCATAGAACAGAGAATCTGAACCATGTGGGAAATGTTTTATTTTTCTCAGTGCACTCAAGTTCAGAAAAGAATTGTCACATGAAAGGGAAGCCATATGCATGCAATAAATATGGGAAACTTCCATTTTTTCTAGGTAGCTTGGAAAACATAAAAGAACTCCCACTGAAATGAAAGCCTATGTAAATAGTGTGTGAAAGATTTTTATGTTTTGCATAACATGAGAAAACATGCACAAATTCAAAATGAGATTTATTGTAAATACCAAATATGAGAAAGCTAAGAATCAGAGTAACAGAGAGGTGTGTTAGGAATGAAATATGCTGTTTCAAACCACTGGAGCAGAGACAGTCTTTCTCCAGTATAGCTATAGACTGAAGCACTGATGAGGTTGGAAAAAGCAAAATAATGTTAATTCAGAATAACTAGGCACCTTGCATCTAAGTTTTCAATACATGGCCTTTAAGGGACATTTTACCTGCAAACCATCACCTTATTTGTATGGGTAAAGTGAAGTTCATATAGTCAAATTTTATTGAGTCTTAAACACTTCGTTTGTGACAATGTAGATTAACCAAGAGGTCATTATGTGAAATATGCCACACATAGACAAATTAAAGCTTGATTTTTTTTTTGTTTTGTTTTTTGAGATAGGGTTTTGCTCTGTAGGTAAGGCTGACCCTGAACTCACTATATAGCTCAAGCTGGCCCAGAACTCATGGCAAACTTCCTGGCTCAGCTTCCTGAGTGCTGGGATTATAGACATATGCCACCATGTCTGGCTTCATATTTGTTTTTTTTTTTTCTGTTTAAATTTTCATACTTTATTCCTTGCATCAATAGATTAAGAAATTAAATAGGACACACATGTGTAAATACTGAATAGTTTCTCTAGTGTGAGAAACTGAGAGTGTAAATAAGGATGAAAATGATTAAAATGAATAGTTGATAATTTGAAGTAGGAAAAGGTCCAAAGGTGTAGGGGTGGCAGGAGGGGAAGGGGAAAGGGAAGAAGGGAAAGGAAAAATTATGAGAAAGAAAAAAAAATGGAAACAAAGTCTATGTAAATAGAGAAGGGTGGTGGGGGTGAAGGGCACACAGGTAATGGGGGAAAAAATAAGAACTAAGATACAGCATGTTCAGGTACAAGCAGCCAATGATAAATGTAAATGTATTGTATACCTAAAATGTACCAATAAAGATAAAAATTTTAAAAATGTACCAATAAAGTTAATGGAAGAAAAAAAAAGAGATTAAAATTTTCCCAAACTGATTTATAGTAATGTTTTTATAAGTGGAAACAAAATGTTCAGTTCCATAAAACAACATTCAACGATCTCTTTGTATGTAATTTTAATCCTTATTTTAAGCTGAAGACAATAATAATTTAATGCAATAAGCTAAGTACACACAAAACCAGCATATCCTGAACTACACAAAGGGGTTTCTATGGCCACATATGGTTTCAATCAAGTATACATTTCCACAATGAGCAAGTACTTACAAATATGTTAATATAACACTATTCCAAATCCTTATCTTGCCATTAGCCTTTTAATCATCGCCATTCCTACTACTGAAAGCATTTAGATTTAGAATCTTTGATCTGGGAAAATGAGTTCTCCTAAAACTTAACAAATACCTGTAGTATGTTATAAGGCAAAAGGCTTTTAAATCAACAAAAGCTTTAACACAGAAGCACTGACATGAAACTTATTTTGTCAAAAACAAAAAAAGTTATCTTTAAAAAAGATAGTAAACAAATTATCTTTTAAGACAAACATTCTTATAAAAACTTGTAGTTTTCTATATCATCTCCTTACACACAAAATGATGACTGTTGTCTAAAAACTTCAGAATGCATAAAGTACATGCCTTAGCTGTCAGTCAAAAAGGCCCTTGAGATTTTACATATTAAACAGCTAGCATACAGCTTATAATGGCATGAATATATCTAATATATAATACAAGTTTATTCTTCAGACAGTCAAAAGTCAGAAGGGACTGCATGGTTTGCAAAGTACTTTAACTTATATGTAGCCATTAAAATCTAGTAAGTAATTCAAGTATGGTTGCA